CGGGCTGGGGATTCAAACCCGCCACCTTAGGTGTATGTGGCTGGCGCCTTAGCCGGTTGAGCTATATGCGCCGAGCCAATGTCTCAACTTTCATCAAATATATATTTTAACCTTTAAGAAAAATTCTCTTTCTAATCTTCCATATTTCTACATAATTCTTCAAAGGTTATTTTTAATTTACATATTTTGTTTCAGGCTAAATAGCTTCTATATATTCAATCTGTTTGACAAATAAAGATCCATATAGTAGATATTTTAAAATATTTGTTAAGTAAGAATTCACTATTAGGAGTTTCCTTATCAAACTTATCCAAAAATGATTAAATAAAATTTAGTCATAATTTATGATATACCATATAACAAAAATAATCATTTCAAAATATAATTTCTTTCAGATATACAGGGCTTAACATAACCAAAGTACATGATGGACCATGTGTAAGTAAAGTCACTTTTATTTTTTATTTTTAGAAGTAAATCATATATAGTTAAGAGTTCACTGTTGTAGAGTTTTAAGTATTTTGTTATGAAAAATTTCAAGCATAAAAGTAGAGACACTAATATAATAAATCCAATATACTTATCATATGGAATCAATAAATTACAATGTTTTGCCACATTTCCTCCCCCTCTTCTTTTATCCTCTTTTTTCTTTGATGAAATAATACAAGTCTCAGATATGTCATCCACTCCTACATACTTCAGAGTACATTTCTAATAAATTTGGACATTTCCTTACATACTCACGAGGTCTTATTACGCCTAATTAGTTCCTCGTTATCTCTTACTACATACTTCATATTCAAATTTTCCCAATCATCTCCAAAATACATCTTCTAGGGCAGTAGTTCTCAACCTTCCTATGCCTCCTAATGCCATGACCCTTTAATATAGTTCCTCATGCTAATGCTAGGAAAGTAGCATTATTTTCATTGCTACTTTATAACAGTAATTTTGCTACTGTTATGAATCATAATGTAAATATCTGATATGCAGGATGTATTTTCATTATTACAAAGGGGTTGTGACCCACAGGTTGAGAACTGCTGTTCTAGGGGAAGAAATATATCTTAGCCTGATAATTTAGTAGTAAAGTACATCTATTCTGCCCTTTCTCTTCCCTGCCATACCCAATATCTGGGATATTGACAAAAGACACTAACTGGAATGTCAACCGTTATTCTGAAAGTCAATGGAACAGGACTTTCCTTAGCCCTGAGTCTAGATCATTTGTCCTTGACTTTATGATTATAGGACCAAAGCAAGAACTTAGCTGGCACCATAAAGATCACTTTTGTATTATGAAGCATGGCAGTGAGACTGAGGGAAATCGTTGTAGATAAGAAAATAAAGAGTGTAGGAAATAATGTAGGTAAAATAGAACAGTTATGTAATGTAGTAATAATTTTATGACAATATCTTCTGACAATCTCCATAAGCTCACAAGACTCATCTGATTTACAGACCAGCACACATATTATTCACTTAGAGGAGGTCTATAACCTGAATGTTCTCTAGTTTCATTAAAGAAATCATGAGAGCTTATAGGCACTTTCGTGATTTGGGGTAGCTATGAAGATATTCCACAGGATTTCTATCACTGTCAGGTTCTTGTTAACCAGGGTGAATTCACAGAAATCCTACCAAATCCCCTCCTTTTATATCTGGACCTCAACCCACAGTTTCTTCCCTTTGAATTTGTTTAGGCACAAGTCATGGATACTGTTTAACACAATAACAGTGCAGCTGCACTACTATATATATTTTTATATATTTGGAAAGTATGGCAGAGGTTGCTAAGCATTCAACCTGATAAAATTTATAGGGTAGACCAATAAGCTGGAGACCCAGGAAAGAGATAATGCTGGAGTTCAAGTCTAACGGTTATCTTCTGGCAGAATTCTTTCTTGCTTGGCAATGAGGGTGGGGTGAGGTAAACCTTTTAGCTCATGTTAGGTAGTGTAATCTGCTTTACTCAAGGTCTGCTGATTTCAGGGTCAATCTCATCCAAAAACACCCTCACAGAAACATCCAAAATAATGTCTGACCAATTACCCAGCCAAGTTGACACATAAAATTAACCATCACAAAATCATGAAATCCTTCCTTAGAATACAGCTGCCCTCCAGTGCAAAGTACCACTACATGAGTGAGCAATAAACTATTTATTTATTTATTTATTTATTTTGGGACAGAGTCTCACTCTGTTGTATCAGCCTGGTTCACAGCAACCTCAAACTCCTGGGTTCAAGTAATCGTCCTGCTTCAGTCCCATTAGCTGAGACTACAGGTGCCTGCCACAGTGCCTGGCTAATTTTTCTATTTTTACAAGAAATGGGGTGTTGCTCTTGGTCAGGGTGGTCTTGAACTCCTGAGCTCAAGCAAGCCTCCCACCCTGGCCTCCCAGAGCACTAGGAGTATAGATATGAGCCACCGCACCAGCCTTAACTTTTTATTTTATTTGAATCTTTCCATTTTTATTTCTTTTTGTTAGTTGGCACTTTGACCCACCTAAGACAAAAACAAAGATATTAAACTCATCAGTCCTGGGTAGGTTGAATCATAAATGATTTACACTACCTTAGTGCTACTCATTAGGGATTCTGAAATTCTGCTAGAGGTATGGTCAACCTCCAAGGACAAAATTTTATAATTTGACCAAAAGATATTTAATATCATATGAATAAATGGAGAGATAGTCTATACTCCTGAATTATAATTTAAGTATTATTGACTATGCTAGTTTTCCCTAAACATTTGTTTTTTTTGAGACAGTCTCACTCTGTCGCCCTACATAAAGTGCTGTGGTGTCACAGCTCACAGCAACCTCAAACTCTTGGGCTTAAGCGATTCTCTTGCCTCAGCCTCCCAAGTAGTTGGGACTA